CCCCCCCCAAGAACTATGTAGAAAAACACGATGTCTTTCACCAGTATTGATTAGATTAAGGCTTTACGGCCACTGATGTGAATCATGCATTTTACACTTTAAAATTATAATGATTATGAATTAACGATTTATTTAGCCGATGGCGTTCTTGTCCCTGCATGGCGTGGTTGAGATGGATCGTGGAGAATATAGCTGTCGAGTAGATTATAAAAGATCTCCAACAAGATATCAAGCTGTTACACTTCAAGTTACAGGTATACAGCTGTCGAGTAGATTATAAAAGATCTCTAACAAGATATCACGCTGTTACACTTCAAGTTACAGGTATACAGCTGTCAAGTAGATTTTAAAAGATCTCTAACAAGATATCACGCTGTTACACTTCAAGTTACAGGTATACAGCTGTCAAGTAGATTATAAAAGATCTCTAACAAGATATCAAGCTGTTACACTAACAAGTTACAGGTATATATGCTGTCGAGTAGATTATAAAAGATCCCCTATAAAATATCAGGCTGTTACACTACAAGTTACAGGTAAAATACGATTCACTATTTTAAATCATTTTAAATGACACACATTGATTACCCTTTTATTTGAGTTCTAGCAACTTTATTACATTTCATTTATTTCATGAACTATCAATATTATATCTCTATAAACTCATAATTCATCAATGCATTTCTACCTTTGGCCTAAACATAATATAGTCCATTGTTAATATTAGTAAACCATATATCTTTATACTAATATATATATATTTCACTGTTTCACGCCAGATATGTGTCAAACAATAGCATAATATCACAGCTTTATTTGTCCTTATTCTTACCAGAAAATATAAACATAAATCAAGGATAACATAGATAGGACAAGAAGGAATATAATGATTTTTTGTGGAAAACTTGTTGTATGCATTCTAACCTTTCCCAAGGAATAGATGCAGGGTACCTGATAAAGATCTGACTGAAGATACGAATGAACGAATATTTTTGGATTTTGCTCTTACAATCAAGGTTCTCTACAGCAGTAAACTTTTTTCCCCCCAAATCATCAAAGAAATTGAGTCTTTGCCACAAATTCAAATCTTCTAATCACTTTATCTTTAAAACCAGATGGTTTAAACCTTTGACATTTCAAACTAAGATTATTTTATCAAACCTAATTCATAGTTTGAAATATTTAAGGTCTACAACATTGGGTTGATAATGAGTGCGCTTGTGGCAAAGACTCAATTCCTTTACTCATAAAAGTGTAATTGAGCAAGAAACCCTAAATAAATTTTTAAAACGTTATATTTTGAGAGTTTCAGGTCGTTAACAAATGCTCATCCTTTGTTGGCAACCCTGTACCAGGATATCCAGTTGGCAACCCTGTACCAGGATATCCAGTTGGCAACCCTGTACCAGGATATCCAGTTGGCAACCCTGTACCAGGATATCCAGTTTAGTTTTTTAACAACCCTGTACCAGGATATCTAGTTTAGTTTTTTAACAACCCTGTACCAGGATATCCAGTTTAGTTTTTAAACAACCCTGTACCAGGATATCCAGCTTAGTTTTTAAACAACCCTGTACCAGGATATCCAGTTGGCAACCCTGTACCAGGATATCCAGTTGGCAACCCTGTACCAGGATATCCAGTTTAGTTTTGTTTTTAGTTAAAGCGTACTGTAGTTTCTGGAAGGGTTTTAAACAACCTCAGTGCTGCTTTAGCTTTTCTGCTTTGCTGTCTTTTCAATTTTTCCCATCATTTCCATTTTTTCATCTGTACCTTCTCTTCCACCTTTTTCATCTTTTCCAGGCTACGTTATCTATTCTAGTTCCCCCTGAGTATACTGTTATCCATTCTAGTTACTCCTCAGTATACAGTTATCTATTCTAGTTCCCCTTGAGTATATAGTTATCTATTCTAGTTCCCCCTGAGTATACAGTTATCTATTCTAGTTACAAGTACTGTATACTGCACTGTACACTGGTGTACACTGTATACTGCACTGTACACTGGTGTACAAGTACTGTATACTGCACTGTACACTGGTGTACAAGTACTGTATACTGCACTGTACACTGGTGTACA